TGTTTTTTAAAGCAATTTTTGTGTTTCTCCAAACTTCTTCCCACCCCCTCACCTATTGCTCAAGTGTCTGGGAAGCAGAGGGCACCTGAGGGTATTCAGGTATTGGGCTGAACTCTTTTTGTGTGGCCACTCTGAAAGGCATGTAGCCGGTACTGCTGTGAACAGAATTATTGTATGCCACCTCCACAAAAGGGAGATCAGTCCAGTTCGTCTGTTGGTAAGAAACGTAGCATCTAAGATATTGCTCCACCATTTTGTTAGCGGATTCTGCAGCCCCATTGGTGGCCGGATGAAAAGCAGATGATAAACTTTGAGATGATCCAATTAATTTAAGAAAACTCCTCCAAAACTTCACTGTGAATTGCACCCCCCTGTTCAAAATTATTCGCTTAGGGGCGCCATGCAGCCGGTAGATATGTTTCAAGAACAATTTGGTCAGTCGTTGGGCAGATGGGAGTCCTTTGCAGGCAATGAAATGAGCCTGCTTCGAGAACAGGTCTATCACAGTCCAGATGACAGTATTTCCTCTACTTTCAGGTAGGTCTACTATAAAGTCCATAGCTATTTCTTCCCAGGGTTGAAAAGGGTCTACCACTGGCTGCAGTAACCCGGGGGTTTTCCCTGGGATTCTTTTCATTGTGGCACATACAGTACAACTTTTTACATAGTTTTCCACATCCCGTTTCAGCCCCGGCCACCAAAATTGCCGGCGGGAGAGATGTAGGGTTTTCAAATATCCAAAGTGTCCAGCCTGTTTTACATCATGGCTGTGTTTGAGAGCATTAAGACAGAGGGGATGAGTGGTTCACTTGGCGGTGAATCACTCACTACCTATAGGAGGTTTAGCTCCTATAGGTAGTCTCACAGTTCTCATTTCTTTCTCACACCAAATAAACGGCTTCCATTTGTCCAACCAGGCTAGCCCTAGGGTCACAGTCTCAGTCATTTTTGGAGCCACTAAGAAATGAATAAACTCCCAGTGCACATCTATTTCTAAGCGTAAGGGCTCAGTTAATTGTGTGACGAGTCCCTCCCATCAGGGAGCCATCGGCTTGCTCAAACCTCATAGGTTTGGAAAGCTATTCTCCAGCATGATGAATATAGAATCCACCGGTGGGTAATCTCAGCCTTCCTGCTCAGATGAGACTAAGTCAGAACTTTAGCCATGCCTCCCTCTGGGTGTGTCTTCCCAGTTATTGACTTAGTCTCAGCTCAGTAGGGTGCAAATCTTTTGACTCCTCAGTTAGACTAGGTTAATTGATTATCTAATTGAATTTATTTCATTCTACAGTCTCTAAATCTTCCTTATTTAAATTTGCACTCAAATTGACAAAATTTGGCATTGGAATATTACTTAGGCCTTTTGGCTTTGAGCCTAACAGGCTCCTGTGGAGAAGGCTGCAGGCCGATCTCAAGTGGGGCTTTTAGTTCTGATCGAGCGGATCCGAGGGCGAACGGAGTTTTTTTGGAGCTCAGGCAGACCGGAGGGCTTCCCTTTCCAACTTTCGTCGAGGCCACGAGGCTTCCCTCGGCAGCAAACGAATTTGGATCGCAGCAGAGGCTGCGTGACCAACAGCAAGTGCCTTTTGCGAACGGGGGGAAGAGGGCTTTATTTAGTTTGCCTGATTCTTAAAGCTTTTCCCTAGCAGGGGACTTTGTTGATTTTTCTTCCCCATTTTCAGCGCGGTCGCCATTTTTAGGAGGCACTGAACAGGCACAGCCGCCATTTTGAATGCATGTTCAGGGCGCGGATGCCATTTTGAGCGCGTATTAGGTGCGGACGCCATTTTGTAGGGACCTCATGTTCCTCTGAGCTTTAATGGGGCCTGCTTTTATTATTGCCTTGGACTGCTGTGTCAGCCCTGTACCGGGGGAAAGCATCAACATCAACATCATTTCAGGATAACTTGGTGCGTTATCAGGAGAATCACAGGAGTGATCGCCTCATTGTATTTGTATTATTGTTCTAACTACTCATTGAGGTTCAGGTTACATATCCTTCATTACTTGTGTGAGTTGAGTGAAGGCGAATTTTATTTCAGAACCACCTATTCCAATTAGTCTGTGGCACTGTGCCACAAGGCCTAGACAGGCAGTTCTAGGGAACTGTCTGGCTGTTTTTTTGCCATTGCTGTTGTTCAGAGCAAGGATCGTTTTCCATCTCTGACAACTAGATCTGCGTGTTTGGGTTCCCCCACTTCTGGATATCTCCTACCCGGATTATCTAGACTGCAATGGCAGACAGTTCCTCGCCCCAGGCATCACAAGGCTCTGGTATTCCCCCCCCCCGCACAAACAAAGCGCAGATCAACTGATTTTTACGCAGGTCTGAAAAGTGGTGCAATTATAGGCTGTTGGGGCCCCCACGGTGGCTGTTGCTGCTGGCCCCATCCTGGCTGCAGATTTATGCCCAGGGGTTGCACGTTTGGGAGCTGTGACCAATCTCCTTGCTCCTGGCCCCATCCTTGCTTCTGTACCACCCCAAGCTGTTGCAAGGCCTCTATTAGCTGTGTCAAGTTCAGAGATTGTGGACCATCTACCTGCTGGGTTTGCCAATCTCCCCATTGCTGCAGAGGCCTTCAGGGCTGGAGTCCCTGGCAGGGGAAGACAGGATCTGAAAGGCTTTCTGATCTGCAATTGAGGGGCTGCAAGCTTCCCTCCGCAGGAGTAGATTTCTGTCTCTCTCCTCTGGGGTTTGAAATATTTCCAGTAACTCACCCAGGCTTTGAGTGGCAGTTTGTCCATTCTCCGTCCACCGATTTGCATTTGTCTGCCAAAATTCATTTTCCCACAGCATGCTGTCTGTTACTTCCCCCTCTGGGTTATCAGCAGCTGCCGGGCTGTATTCAACAAACTCCCGTTTATCATGACAGATTGTCCTCCTCCTGAACTCTGTTACTCTCACTCCAGCCTAGGAGAAAGAGGTGGAGGTAATGTATCCCCAGTTGTTTGAAAAGGTTTTAGATTCTGGCATGATGTCAACGTTCCGACGAATGGAACACTTCAAGGAAATTGCAGGCGTATTTATTCTGAAAAAGTCTGTAATCATGGATACATTATCGGCACATATTGAATGGATGACAGAATCTGAATTTCTCTTGCTTGCGTCTAACTTTTCTTGCTAAACCCCTCCCTTATTTTGCAGTCATAAGTCACATCTTCTAATTAGCCCGGAGGGCAAAGATTCACTTCCGTTCCTTTTCCCGGGCTTTTCTTATAAATCTCCTCCCTTTCTCTGTCATCTGAATTAACTCTAAAAATACCAGACAGTTCTGTATATCTTGTCAAAGCAATAATATCCTATATTAACAGCGTTGACACAGATTTTTATCTTTTTTTTGTCACAGCTGTTCTTTGTTGTTAAAACTTTGAAGGTCACAAGCAGAGATTAACTTTTCACAGGTTTTGCCAAGTCTTATTAAAGTCATAGCTATCATAGTCTTCATCCACCACTAGGTATCAGCATCTATTTGTTTTTCAATTTCCAAAATGAACAATTATCTTTAGAATGAGAGATTTAAGTTTTAAATTTCAGGTTTTATATTTATTTCGCTTCCATATATTTTGATCCTCCATAAAAAGATTAATTCGCCGCTTCTGTTAGTATAAGGAAGGGGCGGAAATCCCCATCCTTCTCTTTCAAAGGTATTTTGCTTCTTGGTGATCTTTTCCAGGAAATTAAATACAGAATAGGAAAGAGAAGATCACATTCCTCACCCAGTTTCAAGCACGCTGTTCACAGTTGTGCTGGTCAGTACTTTTGGACTTCGGTTGCAAGTAGCTTGGGCTGGTCGATGAAATACGGCCAGCCTTTCTCCTGTCGGGTTAGAAGGCTTTCCCCAAGTCAAATGGCTGCTGTTCCAGAATCGCCAGAGCACCCTTCTTTCTTCGCCGCCTCTCTGGGGCGACTTAGACCCATTTAGGGTCCCCTGGCAGGGTGAAATTAGCTGTGTGGGTGCGGAGAATCTGCAAGCCCGCGACTGGTTGCTACCACACAAAACTGGAAGTCTCAGATCAGGCACTTTTTGATAAAGTTACGTGATTATCCATTTTATGGGAAGAACCAGCAGCCCCAGACAAAAATACAAGAGTAATCTAAAACATACAGTGTAAGGACTGTAACAGACACTATTGTAAGACAAAGAGGCAGAAGACTAGTGCAGTGCATCCATGAACACCAATTAGCAGACAGAAGACATAAATAAAACTTCTTAATTTCACAATACATAGATAGACTTGACCATAGTTTCAACTGGGAAACTGAACATCCTAGATCAAGCCAAGTCCAAAAAACCCAGAAAATTCCTGGAGATTTGGCACTGAGGCAGATTGGCCATCAACAGGTACATAGTGCTAAAAATCATCTATACCATTCAAAAGAGTCAGTCAGAAAGCCCAAAAGGAAATCAGAAGACCAGAATACCACCTCATTAACAATCAACACCTGTATGACTAGAGATTAACACCAAGATTAATGCTAGCACAACAATCTTAAGAAGTAAACAACTGTAACCAAAGAACTACCAAGGTAGACAAACAAGCCAACAGTAAACAACAGTCTAATCAAGAAACTACTAAGAACACACCCATCAACACTGACAGGGCAAGCCACTAGTATATAGAAATAAGAGCAGATCCCACTCCCTTCTAGCACTGATGATGTTACCTAGTTTGGTAATGAAATGTCTGCAAGAAAGCTCAGAGAGTATCAAGGACTCTACAATTCAACCCTGAGTTACAAGTATTTTCTTCTATTGGTAATCATGTTAGTTGTACTACAGTTTGATTCTTCCCCCCCCCCAAACCACCTAGTGGGGTGTTAGATGGTGGTTAGTGCAAGGCTGGTGTTCCTTGCCCCTACCTCCTCTGCATGGCTTTATGCACCCCCCCCCATCAACATGGTGTAATAGTGAATAGCCTTATAAATATAAGATCATTTGAGTATTTTGAACAATAATTACAATTTTTTAAATGTTATGACGTTTGTATGTTTTTTGTAGATTGTGACAAAATGCCTGGAAATCTTCCAGCTCCAGTGGAAAACAACAAGGAAGAGGTAAGAATAGAAGGTAGTAATTGTATTGATATAATAATACATAGGAAATTATTTGATAGTTCAGATCTTTCAGATTACTTTTATTAAATATGTTCAAATTGTGTACATTGTGTATCCCAAATACGTCTTTTAAGTTTTAAACACTCTATTCTAAGTACCAAACAGCTCACCTTAAATGCAAAACAGACTTTTTGTCCATCTTTGTTTTTAGGCATGAAACACTTGTAAATGATTGAAGTGAGACATTTCAAATGTTAAACATTGTGCATCCCTATTTATTACTATTGTGTTTGTAATTTAAATCTGGTATGAACATATTTTATAGTAATACTACCTTTGGAAATTAGGATGAATGTCTGCCTTAAACCTATAATCAAGTATTTAAAAACGACTAAGAGCAGAAATATGAAAAGTTGTACCTTTGGTTTTCAGGTCACTTGGTAGCCTTCAAAAGTTTAGGAAGGGATTGTTATTGTAAGAAGTCCAAAGCAATTCTTCTGAGTCAGTTTTGAAGTACTCTAATACTATGTATACTAGATTCTCTTTCCAATCAAGCTGTCTTTGAACTCTAATGACTTTGTGGACACAATGATGTAATTTGTTTGGCACCATTATGGACATGGTTTACCATGTTCTTATTCAGAGTTGTTTTTTCAACTTCCCAATCTAGTCTAGTTGCCCTGAAATAACTAACTAGGCTTGATCTTGCTTAGCTTCCAACTCCAGACAAAGAAGTGCCCTTTCTTTGTGTGCTTGCATTTCTTTATCTCTCTCCATAATCTATATTTCCATATACCTATATATCTGTCTCTGTATATATTTAAATGAATAAATTTGCAAAGATAGCAAAACATATTTTTCCTGATATTTTTCTTGTCCACAGGAGCAATTCAGAGCCATTTGTGACAAAGGTAGTGAATAAGAAGCTACTTTCAAATTGGATTCAGTCTAGGGCAGGGATGGCGAACCTTTTAGAGACAGAGTGCCCAACCCCTCCACTGAGCCCACTCCACCCCGCCCCACCTGCCAGGCCACCTATCACCTCCACAGATCGCTCAGGTGGCCCTGCAGTGCCATGGTGGACACGCCCTCCATCCACGCCCCACAGCATCATCTGCGTGTGCTGGGCGCGAGGGTGGAGTCTTGTCCCTGCTGCCCAGCTGCCATGTGCTTGGTTGTGCTGCTCCGCGCCCGGGGGTGACTCCTCTGGGGGGCTGCTGAGGGGGTGGCAGGGCTTGTATGACGATGCACGTGCCCACAGAGAGGGCTCTGAGTGCCGTCATTACATAACACAAGATTAATTTCAGTTATTAAATTAACAAGTTTCTGATTCTACACAGTCCAAGTGGCTAACAAAACAAGTTAGGTTTGTGCAATACAAAAAACCCTCTAACTGGGCTAAGCATGTTATGGGCATGTATTTTCTGTATCTTTCAATTGATTTGGCTAAGCTGTGACTTGATGTCACAGAAGTGAGAGTATGGCTGGGTCAGATTTACTGCTGAGCATTCTCTAGGTATGATGGAATACAATTTCTTTCATTCCTCTGTTATCTGGGGATAAAGACAGTTTTGAATTGCACTTATTTCTTAAATTTCTATTCTACCTTTAAATCAGGAGTTCAAGAAGATATATGTAATGTTCCTTCCTTCTATTTTATTGCTACCACAAAAACTCTGTGAGGTATGTTGAGTTGAGAGAGAGCGGCTCTGTAGCTGAGGGTGGACTGGAACCTCGGCCTTCCCATTTGGACTCCAATACCATAACTATAGTATGTTGCTATCTTATGTTCAATAAGACTGTCTCTTTGAGATCTGCTTGCAAAATTAATCCACCTGGAAGGGAGACCCTTGCCGGGGGATTTTGCAAAAAATTACCATGTCAGACAATGGAGCAAGAAAGGGGGAAAACTCCCTGGAAAGAGAGCCGGTGACCCAATTGGAACCTTGCCAGATGTTGGGATCCGAGAGGTCAGATTCCTCCGGAGAAGAAGTGGTGGAGACATGGAACCACAAGCCTCCCTGGTCAATGGGCGTTGGAAAGAAAAGTGAGTGGAGAAAGGAATCAAGAAAGGTGACCCTGAGACGGGGGCCCAAGCAACCAGAATGGAAGCAGGAGATGGAGAAATCCCTGCACGCAAGTGAAGAGGGAGAAAGCTGGGCACCGTACTGAGACTGGATCCTAGAGAAAGCTATTGACCTGATGAAGAGAACTCTCAGCTCCCTAGGAGAGGAGAATCCTGAGCCCTACGGCCGCCCCAGTTCCTGGAGCCGCAAAGGGAGAGACACCGAGGGGGAAGTGGAACCTGCAACCCTGGGGACATCTGCTGATCCAGTAGTTCCCACCCCCTACCGGACCACAGATGGCGATCTGGACGGAAGACACTACCACCAACAACGGAGGCACCGATCCATTCCAAGACGTCCGCCGTTGGAGGTGAAATTTAAAGGGGAGCCAACACGCTTGGGGTTTTTCCTAACCCAAGTCTTCAGCTACATGGAGGAATATGGGCAAGACATCCCCAGCGACAAAGCCCTCATCTGGATCGTGCAATCTGCCCTGGATGGACCAGCTGCAGATTGGGTGGTGAACTTGCATGACTCCAATGCCCCAGAACTCAGCAACTTCAACCGTTTCATGTCCTCTCTGAGAAGACGATTTGAAGACCCCCTGGCTGATCGCAAAGCCCGTGAAAGGATAAAAACGATGAGGCAAGGCAAACGCCCAGTGGCTGAATATACAAAAGAATTCTGGGCCATTGCCAGCAAACTGAATTGGCCAGAAGACATCCTCCTTAGCCATTTCAAAGACGGACTAAGTTATGATCTATATGACGCTTGCCTGCCCCGAGGGGATCCACACCAACTTGAGGAATGGTACATCTTGGCAGAGGAAGCAGAGATCGACATATTGAAAAGACACCACTGAGGAAAACAATGGAGCCGCTCCCCGCCTGAGTTGACATACGAACCAGTGAAACCACCGGCTACAGCCAAGAAGCAAATGGGATGTTTCAAGTGCGGAAGAGAAGGGCATCGAGCTGTAGAATGCCGCTCCAAAGCCCCCCAGCACAACCCAGACAGATCCCCAATCGGCAAATCCGGAAAGTCTTCAGCTAAGCCAAAAGAAACTGCCATGAGAATGATGGAAATTGCGGAACCTCCCACGTCTACTCACCAAGGGGAAAGAACTCCAGCCTGCACCACAGGTCCGTTGGACGCCTCAGAAGACAGCTCGAAGGGTGAACCCCTGGTAAGTGGACACATCACACCCATCCTCAAGACAGTGACTATATTAATTCCCCCCATGCCTGAAGCTGTGAAGGTGAAAGCCTTAATAGACTCTGGCTGCACCCGCTGCCTCATTAGCCCAACACTAGTGGGGAATCTGGGCATCCCGTCGGGGAGACTGGAACAACCAGGTGCCAGCTACCCTAGCCACTCTACCAATACACCTCTCCCTGGGCAAACATGAGGAGGACATAACGTTTGTGGTGACCCCAGGCATGGAATGCCCAATGATCCTAGGGATGGAATGGTAAAAAAAATGGAACCCCTGGGTAAATTGGAGGATGACAGAAATCAAATTCCCGAAGGGGGCCCCAATGGACTTAAAATCCCAAGGGGGGCTACCAGAATCAAGAATAGGAAAAGCATCCATAGGAGAGGAAAAGAGACTAACAGAAATACCAGAGGAACACAGAGACCTTGCTGAAGTTTTCAGTGAGGAGAGGGCGAATGAGCTGCACCCCCACTGACCCACAGACTGTGCCATTGAATTCAAGCCTGGGGCAAAACTCCCGAAGCCCAGATTATACTCCATGAGCCCAAAGGAGAAGGAGGAAATGGAAAGATTCATAAAAAAAAACCTGGAGAGAGGTTTCATTGAGCCAGCCAAGCCTAAATTGGCTGCCCCGGTCCTTTTTAGAGAGAAGAAGAATGGCTCTTTACTCTTATGCGTGGATTATAGGGCCCTGAATACAATCAGTGAAAGCAACCTATACCCTCTACCCCTCATGAAAGACATGCTGTCACACCTATTGAAAGGGAATTTTTTTTTTCTAAACTAGACCTAAGGGAAGCTTACTATCGCGTGAGAATTAAGGAAGGGGACGAATGGAAGACTGCATTTAACTGCCCCATGGGGTGCTATCAATTCAAAGTCTTGCCATTTGGATTACAAGGGGGCTCTGCAGTCTTTATGCAATTAATCAATGACGTTCTAAGGGAGCACCTGTTTAAGGGGGTCCTTGTTTACTTGGACGACATTCTTATCTTCACCGAAAGAAAAGAGGAACATGTCAACCTTGTCAGAGCGGTTTTAAAGAAGCTGCGAGCCGCCCACCTATATGCCAAACTCTCAAAATGCGAATTCCACCAGGAAAGGATAGACTACCTAGGTTATCGCATATCCCCCCAGGGCATTGAGATGGACACAGAGAAGGTCAGAGCAGTATTAGATTGGGCACCACCCCGCACAAGAAAGCAACTACAAAGTTTCCTGGGCTTTGTAAACTTTTACCGCCAATTCATCCCCTCATTTGCCCAGATAGCCTTGCCCCTCACTAACTTACTAAAAACGAAGGGAGCATCCTCAGTAAAACCTAGCCAGCCACTAACATGGACAATGGAGTGCCAAGCAGCGTTTGAGAGACTAAAGAGACTTTTTTCTGCCGAACCAGTACTAAGACACCCAGACATGGACAAGCCCTTCGTGATACAGGCAGATGCAAGTGATGTGGCAGTGGGGGCTGTTCTATTACAGGAAAATGATGATGGAGTATTGCAACCCTGTGCATATACATCCAAGAAACTTACGGAAACAGAACAGCGCTGGCCCGTATGGGAGAAGGAGGCATATGGGATACGTTGGGCATTACTCACGTGGCGACAGTTCCTGGAAGGCAACAAAATCCCCTTCCAGGTGTGGACTGACCACAAAAATTTGGAAGCCCTGAAAATGCCCAGGAAACTCAATCCCAAACAAGCCCGCTGGTCCCAGCATTTTCACTAGTTCCAATTTAAGTTCAAACATTTACCAGGGAAAAAGAACTCGCATGCCTCAATATAACAGCGCACGAACCACAGACTCTAAACAAATAATGGCAGAGTCACAACTGGCAGCACCAGTAACCACAAGAACCCAAGCCAAATTAAAACCACAACTGGATAGCCAAACTGGAATTGAATTCAGAAAAAGTTTGGAAACAGATGAATGGTTCCCAAAAAACAAAAATGTGTGCACAATGAGAGACGGGTTGCCTTGGGTAGGGGAAAAGTTATGCACCTTTGCCATGATACAAAATCAGGAGGGCATTTTGGATTTGTATAAAGTTTACACTTAATTAAACGGCAATTTTGGTGGCCATCCATGAAAAAGGACATTGAAAGTTATATAGCCAGTTGTCCAAAATGTGCCACTGCAAAGAGGTTGCAAGGGAAATCACCAGGACTATTACAAACAGTGACAAGTCCCTCAGCCCCCTGGAGAGAAATAGCCATGGATTTTATAGTGGAATTGCCAGAAAGCAATGGGAATACTGTTGTCTGGACGGTCACGGATTTGTTTTCCAAACAGGTGCACTTTATCCCTTGCCAAAAGATTCCCACTGCAAAAGCCTTAGCAAAACGTTTTGTCCAGCACATTTACAGATTGCATGGGGCACCCCAATGCATCATCTCTGATAGGGGAGTGCAATTTACGTCTGCATTTTGGAAGGAAATTTTATCCCTCTTAGGAACCACTCAGGGACTGACATCTAGCCACCACCCACAAGGAAATGGGGCCGCTGAAAAAATGAACTCCGTACTTAAGCAATATTTAAGATGTCTTCTTAGTTTCCAGCAGACCGAGTGGGCGGACTTACTCCCTTTTGCAGAAGTTGCCTACAATAATGCAGTCCACTCCAGCACAGGTTACACTCCTTTTCAAATAGCCACCGGTCAAAGTTTCAACCCCATGCCAGAATTAACCCCAAACGAACCAACAATCCCATCACTGAAAGAATGGATGGAAAAACTACAAAACACCTGGCCAATAGTTAGAAAAGCACTAGATGAAGCTAGGCAGGCATACAAAGCACAAGCCGATAAAAAAAGGATTGAGCCTACACCATTCATTATAGGTCAGTGGTTCTCAACCTGTGGGTCGGGACCCCATTTGGGGTCGAATGACCATTTCACGGGGTTCGCCAAACAAGGCTGTCCACCATTTTTTCCCCTTTTCTTTGGCCACGCCCCTGGCACCCGGTGATGTATAAGTGGTTGGGGGTCACCACAACATGGGGAACTGTATTATGGGGTCGCGGCATTAGAAAGGTTGAGAACCACTGTTATAGGTGAAATGGTGTACTTATCTAGAAAATACCTAAAGTCCCTACAACCCTGTATAAAACTTGGAGCAAAATATATAGGGCCTTTTCCAATTAAAAGGATCATAAACCCAGTAACAGTAGAATTAGAATTACCCAAAAATCTCAGGCAAATACACCCAATTTTTCATTGCAGCTTGCTGAAGAGAGCATCAGTCAGATTTCCGACCAAAAATCCCCCCCCCACCTCTAATCATGGTAGAGGGCGAACAACACTTTGAAATAAAGGAAATCCTAGACTCTAGGAGATATTATGGAGCGACTCAGTACCTAGTTGCCTGGAAACACCTCCCTCCCTCACAAAATGAGTGGGTCCATAAACGTCATGTCAGAGCCCCGAAGCTATTAAAGAAGTTTCACACCGAGTATCCTAACAAGCCTGACTAACTTTTACACCTGTTTTGTTTTCTTTCAGGTGGATCTCTCTTATTTTTGAGGGGGCCGGATGTCAGAATCCAATTATACTTCATCTCTAGTTATCAATTATAGAAAACCCCATTTCTGCCTTCTCTGGATTCTGTCATACAAGGAAGGGAAGGGGGTGAACAAAGGGGCTTTATGGCCCTCACTTCCTTCGGTACAACTTCAAAGGGATTGAATGTGGATAGCACCAAAAGGCCTTATCATAACAAAGGAGGCTATTACCTTTCATGTAGTTTTCTCTGAAGTCTCCATCCAGCCGGCAGAAAGGAAAAGGGGTGGGAAATGTAATGCCTGAGACTGTTGCTGGAAGTAGGGGGGGATTGGGTGGGGCTACTGGGAAACCCCTTAAAACCTTGAATGGGAGAGCTTGGACCCCAAGTCCTGTCTAGAACGCCTGCAACCATTTTCTCTTAATAAAGGATTCCTGTTGGAAGAATTATTCCAAGAGTTCTGTCTTCTTAAGATGCAAAGTGGGGTGGGTCCTTACATACTTCATGTACATGCAGTACTCATTTCCAATTTTGAGGGGTTATCAAGGACTTTAGTAGCCTAAGAATGTTTGTCTTGAACACTGTATGTTGCTAGGCATTGGGTGCAGAGACATTCAGGGGAGTCATAATAGCAGTTAGGCACTGTGCTTCCATACATCAAATATCCATTTCATGTGAGTTCACTGTACTCCATGCTTTTCAGCTTTCTGATGTGCGAAACTATTCTAGCTGACTGTGGATATAAGTTCTATATGTAGTCCTTGTTGAATGTCTACTCTTTCAGTAACCAATATTTGAAATATTTGAAACCAATATGATAGTGTTGAATGAGGGGTACTTACAATGGAATTCTCAGTTGTGTCTGTTGCAACATCTTGCAGTCCCATGATCACCATTTGTGACTTCCACTGCTAGCTTCTGATAAGCAGAATCAATGGGAAAGCTGGCAGGTGGTAATAAATAGTGATGCTGCGACTGCATGGAATTTGCCTAAAGACAGCAACAGGGACTGCTGGATGTGCCATCCTAAGTTAGTGTGATCACATGACATTGCGCTTTATATCTGTATCACCCGGTGACCAAGATCCCCATCCACTGGGGGACTGCTAATATTTGGTTTGTTGATATATTCTTGTGAAATATTTAGTTTGACACAAAATTCTTTTTCTTTGTGACTGAAACTAGCTTGATTCTTTTCAATAATTTTACCCACAGTTTTTGCTTATTTTATACAATGATTCTAGTAATATCCAGCATACAAATTAGACACATTTATTTATTATTTATAAATATTTTTCCCTGTTCAAGGCAAATATTTACTTACACATATTTTGCCTTTCCGAGTTTTTTTAACACATCCAGTAATTGGAGCATACCTTTATGTAGTAATGAATTAATATATTTATAGCTAAACTTTTTATGGTGTCTTAAGGATTGAAATACAGAAGTAATTTGCATTCAAAGTAATATCTGAGATGATATGCACAGACAGAGGAATAATGCTCTTTAGATTCTGTATAAGAGGTTTGCATTTTTTCATTTATAGGGTAGTAGCTCTTCTGAAAGATCCAAATCATTAGGATCATCACGCTCCAAAAGGTCAGTTGGTGTGTTTTTAAATTTTTAATTTGCCGGCTTGTTGTCTGAATTGATTGACTATAAAAATTTATAATTATGCTCAGAGGTGATTTGACAGAAATATTATGGGGCACTTGATGGAGAATATTTTTTTGCAATTTTAAAATAATTCATATTAATTTACCCATTGAATACAAATATTCTCAGATCTGAAATCCAGTTGCACAGAATTGACAATATGGAATTATATATTATTATCAATTACAATTATTTTAGTTGATTGTTTAAATTCTTCATAAATTGTGTTAGATTCACATAAAAATATAATTTCAGGCAGTAATTCTGTGCAAAATTGGAGTTTGCTGAAGTTTTGTAATTTTGTTAAAATATGTACACATGACATAACATTTGTCTTTGCTGCTCATTCAGAAAACCCACAGTTGTAACAAAATATGTTGGTTCAGATGAAGAACAAACTTTAGATGAAACCATGACTCAAGATATTTCAAATGAAAACTCGGAAAATGAAGTTGATATGAAAAGTTTGCCAAAAGGTAATTAATCTATTAGTTCAGATCTACTATCAATATTAGAATATTTTCTTAATCATTGAATAAGCTTCCCTATTTTTTCATTTCTCTTCCACTTTGAAAATGCTGGCTGCTACTGATAAAAATAATGGATTCTTGTTCAAGTAGCAGTAGTTAATTTCAGGATATAAAGAAGTGGGGATAAGCAGTTCCTTAATTTAAATGTATATTACAGCAAATTGCATACAAATGTAACAAATTAAAGTTTTGGAGGAATTAAAAGAATATATTTGTAACATTTCTTTTTAACTTTTTTAAAATGCCCCAATTAAGCAAACAGGGTTAAGTAAGCAAGAGTGATTGGGTGATTCAGGTGTGGGGCCCAGTGGGGTGGGAAGCAGGCCCATGGTGGTGGTGGGATGGATTGGGATAAGCGAGGTATTTCAGTGCCGGTAACTTCAAACTAAGTCATCAATAGCTTTTGGGGGTGGCTGCTGTAACTTTGAATGGTCGCTAAGCAACCAATTGTACGTTGAAGACTCCCTGTACCAGAGGTCTCCAACTTTTCCGGCTTTGCGGACAGGTGGGGGAGGGGAGAAGGGATGGTTCCATGCGAGCCACTTGCACAGTTGGGGATATGCACGCTCTCCTGCCGTTTCCATGGCCAGGTTCCAAGCGGCTCACTGCCTGGTATTAGGTCAGGGCTGGTGGGGGGGGGCGGGGTTGGGGACCCCTAACCTATACTCCTGCCACTTATTTTTCCCACAACAATAACCTATGAGAGGGGTTGTTCTGAGGGAAAGCAACTGGATAAAGATGATCAGAATAGCAAACAAATTAAAGGCACATAATTGATAAATTGAAAGAGAATCTACTATTTGGGAAGCTAAAGAATTTTAATCAGATAAATCTTCACGTACCTGTATTAGGGAGATAATACATAGATAATCCATATGTGGAAATGATTAAATAGTACATCTGTATAGAAAAAACAGTTTAGTAGGAGAGTTTAACAGCAGGGAATTGTAGATTTAATGTACATTCAGTTAGATAATTTAATACTATTAAAAAAGGAATTTAAAATACCTTTTTAAAAAAGTGATTGATATGATTTCTTTAGTATAATCCAGCATAAGTATCCTTTTATAGTGCCCACTGTGCTTGCATTGGCAGAGTTAATAGATCTCTCTTGACTGATAATTCCACTCCACTCCTGGTAGACGATTGATGTATTCTTATTAAATAACCAATACTCAGATTTTTGAAGGCAGTTGCAACAGTTTTATTTATAGCCTTAGCTTACAGAAACTGTTTGGTGCATTGTATATGTATATTGATAATTTTATACAGTTTTCTCTTTTATATATGTATGTACTGTTAATACTTGTATTAATAGTATACTGTATTTTAAAATTCTGTCACTTTGTGGATCATATATAAATAAATCATAATATAACTAATATTGGTATACTGAAGTATAGCAACACTGGATGTTGCAGATCACATATAAATTATATTGCACTATATTTGAGTACCTTAATCATGTATTATCACATTTATTAGTGAACTATATAATCCATATATTAATGTCAGTATTTTATCACCAATATATAATGCTAATCATTAATACCTTACTACAATGACACTATTTGTGCCCTGTATTAGTGTGAATGTACACATGGGAAAGATGAAGTATGTGAAATTCATTCAGAGCAGGCCAAAAAGGTGGAAAGGTTTACCCAGGAATATTCCAGCACATGTTGCATATGGAAAAAATCAGTTATTATCTTATAATCATTAGATATGATTCCCAGAATGTGGATGAGAAATTGGCACCCAATGAAAATATCAGGAGACTTGAAAAAGACTGCCAAACTAGGATTGGCAAAGCCTTCTATTGAAGGTTTTTTTTAAAAAAACCTTTGGAATTATAGTCCTTTAGAACAGGGCTTTTCAACCTTTTCACCCATTGTACCACTTTTAGGATATGGCAATATCCGAGTACCACTAGTCGCCTAGCAAGCTGGAGCCTGGCGCTGATCCTGGCGCTTCCGCTGAGCCCTGACAGCCCCGAAGAAGCGCTGATCCTGGTGCTTCTGCTGAGTTCTGACAGCCTTACAGCTCCAGCCATCTCACGCTCAGGCTTGTGCGGTGCTGCCACCGGTTCAGCTCATTCCCTTCCCCCGCTACCACTTTTCTAGGATGGTCACATAACACCTGCCAGGTGCCAATGTACCACAGATGGTACCCGTACCACTGGTTGAAAAGCCCTGCTTTAGAGTCAACACAAAGGTTAGATAAAGTGGCTAATTCTCAGAGCCCAATAACTCTTTCTGATTTCTATAAATTTTATTATAATTTTTAACTATAATTTTCCTAGGAACTATTGTTGTACAACCAGAGCCAGTACTTAATGAAGACAAAGATGACTTTAAAGGACCTGAATTTAGGAACAGAAATACTGCTAAACTAAAACTAGAAGCTCAGAAGAAGCGAGGAGGTAAATGCATTATGAATTACGTTAAATTCCATCTTTAAAATGTTCCGCATTGGTCATTACTTTGTGCATATTGTATGTTTGATTTCAATGTCTTCTGATCTCTTAATAGACAAGATAGGTTAATAAGAGTTACATTACTTGTATTGCCAACTGGCAATTGGGAGTTAGGGTGGGCAATCTGATAGCCCAGAGATATAAGAAGACCACAAACTCTTTTCCTGTGGCACCAGCTGCCCTGCCATTCATAGCTGCTAGAAATCAGCATCAAACTTCCTTTACATTTTGAGGTGAGAAGAACACAAAAAGGTAAAGTAATCTAAAATAATTTAAAAAGCAAGATCGTCTAGTTTCCCCAAATTAACAACTCAAGTTAAAAAAAATCCTGTCTCTGTCCACCTTTCTGATACATCATCTCCCATTCTGTGTCATTTTAAAACCCAAAAGAAATCTCAGTGTGCAGAAGCTTAGTGTATCAGGTGTTGGTTCAGAAAAAGCTATCAAGAAAAGAGAACTATTTTACCAACCGCTTAATGAACTTTTAGTGAGCTAATTGCTGTTAGGAAGTGTGTATTGGATGATGTAGTTTCTTATTCATGCCATATAGAAGATTTTAATGGCGTGCAAAATGTTTCTTGGAGAAGCAGTTCCTGTATATGTGATGTACTAAACAAATTGAGCATAGTTGCTCACTAATTGTTTGCTCTTGCTACTTAAAGGAAGAACCAACTGCCACAAATCTTTGTTATTGTCCTATAATATGGCTTAGGGGTGTGTAGAATCTGCAACTTGAGAAAGTTGTTGGTAAATTAAAAATGTTTTGTGAATTGCAAAAACAATTGTGAGACTGATGCACAATTCCCGTGCTAATGGAAATCAGGTAAATCAGCAGAACTGTATGTAGGCTTGAAATTTTGATATATAAATATTAATTATTTTGAAAATGTGAAATACAGTTTTACTTAGAAGTTGAAGCTTCTTTTTTGTTCAATTTGGGATCTTCCTTGAAAGCTTGTTAATCCTGTTGTCTTTATAAGTCATATAGTATTTATATGTAATTTTTACAACGTTTATTTATATTAATTATAAATTATAATTTAAAAGATATAGTTGATATCTACTTAGAAATCTTATTCATTTTATGATACTGAATTATAACTATAAAATTAATTTAAGTGTAGGTGAATGTCTTGAAATGGAAGCTAATAATTTTTATCTTGTAATAATTTATTTGTTTAATAATATTTTTCTACATACCTTATAATAACCTCCAATTCAGGGTCTTCCATTTGTGCTTGATAATATGAAACAAATGGTGCCATCAAGAATCTTTTTTCAAACTATACTGGATAAAATGTGTTAAAATAATATTTTACAGAAAAAATGAAGAGTTTCTAATACATTCTCTCCCTCCCTCCCCCCCCCTCTGTCTCTCTCTCTCTCAGAGGAAGGGCTTCATGGAATTGTTAGCTGCACAGCTTGTGGTCAGCAGGTGAATCACTTTCAAAAAGATTCTATCTACAGACATCCTACATTGAAGGTTCTTATATGTAAGGTATATATATATATATATACATCTATATCTATATATCTATATTCTCTTTCTATCTCTATGTACCAGCATTCTCATGAATGTATCAATAGGCTGAAGATAAATGTATTGATGAAATCCATTTTGCGCTTGTTTGCACTCATGCACCGATTTTTGTCTTCTGCGGTCTATAAAAAAGCACCATCTCTTGTCTCATGAAGATACGGATTTTGGAATAAGACAAAAATACTTTTGAACCAAGAAAATATCAATAATTAATCCATCTCATGTCAAAGGAGACCTGATGCATCCACCAAGGAAGAACCCACGTACCCAAAGTCAGGGCCTATAGGCCAATCACAATATGCTTTATTAATTTTAAATTTTGTGAGAGAAAATGTTACTATACATTTACTATTTACTATGTAGTCTTTGTTTAGCAACCATAATTAGGACCAGTAAGTCGGTTGCTAAGTGACACAGTCACTAAGTGGAAAATCACATGACTGATTGTGCTTACGGTTTTACTTTAGCTTTCCTTTGATTTACAGCGTCAGAAGGATATGATGCCAAACAGCTAGGTGAGGCCCAACAGTGGTCGTTGTTTCTGGGGCTCAGTTCACAAAGAAGCCAGATTAAAGGGCAAATCTTATAGCACTTTTTCCTTACTCCCCTGCCTTTGGAAAGCTTGGCATTGGGATAATTAGCAAGAAGGGAATTAATGTTTGTATTTACATTCATTGGAGATTAAAAGAAATTAAGCAGAAACACAATGGGGAGCAAACACTGAAAGCAATGCGCTGGTGCTGGCTATTTGCATAGTGTGCTTGGCGCTCCAACCCTAAGCTGGTTAGGAAGGAAACAAAGTCTTCTCAGTTACAGGTAGCAGCTGTCAGTTGGTTAATTAAGGTCACAGAGCTGAGCTTCTTAACTTGCATTGCTCTTTTTGGGGAAATGCTGCACTGCAGAGAAAAGCAGGCCAGGGAGAGATTGCAATTTGAGACTGTACTAACTGACTGTTATGGCAAACTGATGACTGAGAGACACAGAGATGCATGAAAGTCATAAATGTGAACATTGGTCACAAAGTTATTTTTTCACACAGTTGTTGCCCAAAGCAGCTACTGAGCAAGGTCTTCTGTATTTAGGCATGCATCAAATAAAGAAATGAAGAAAATGATAATTCAAACATTTAATGTAATTTTAAATAATAAATTGTCTATGGAACATAACTTTGGTACATACTATATATAGTATGGCAGGATGGGGATATGAAGTATCTAGAGACCAATTTGACTGAAGCAGTGTATACATTTCATAAATAAAAAAGCTTGACTCAGTTTCAGCTAAGTTCTGCCTAGTATTAGTGGAGAAATAATATTGTAAATTACTTTGGAGCAAAATTTGTGTTTTATATTTGCAAGGATGAAATTAAAAAAAAGACCTCAATGTCCTAAAAAAAGCAAATTTGTTTATAGATAAGTAATAATGGTGTTAAGCAATATAACCCAGCAACTCAAGCGTTCTTAAAAAAAAATGTTTTTCTTGATAGACTTGCTTCAAATATTATATGAGTGATGACATCAGCCGTGATGCAGATGGAATGGATGAACAGTGTAGGTAAGTGTATAAAAGTGCCATCATTTAATTAAACTTGATAAGTTGAATAGAAATTATCTCGCATTGTTGAAAGTGATCAGAAAGCAGATTGCTTTATCTTCTTTTGGAGAATAATGCAACTAATTATTTACCCCCATAGGGATTTTTGTCAATATTAAAGTTTTGTTAATATGCCTATATGGATTTGATGTATTAGAGTTAGTGAAAACATGTTCCTACAAAAGTTGTTAATTGATCTTTAAATAGGAGAAATAGTTCACCTCATTCATCTTGCCTTTTATTTTTATAATCTGTATGATTTAACTTGCATTTAAATCAGAAGTAACTGGAGAACAATTGAAGGGAAGTTAATGAGTTATGGGATGCCAAGCCTTTTATAGTGTGAGACAAGTGCATCAGTCCCATTGAACTCATGCTTTGAGAACAGCTCTGAATTTTCAGCCTCATGCATTATTGGCTGCCCTCCAAGGTATCTGGGTTAATGCTAATTTGGCTTGATTTCCTATAATAGAAAATGGAGATAGACTTATCTTTTGAAAATAATATAGCTCCTTGTATCCCAGTTTTATTATATATTAATGAAAAACTTCTGTCATTTGTTCATGGGAGCATATTTTAAAAATGTTAAAACTTTAATTTCAGATGGTGTGCTGAAGGTGGAAACTTAATTTGCTGTGACTTTTGCCATAACGCATTCTGCAAAAAATGTATATTGCGCAATTTAGGCCGAAAGGAGCTGTCAACCATAATGGATGAAAATAATCAATGGCATTGCTATATCTGTCAACCAGAACCTTTATTGGACTTGGTCACTGCTTGTGATAGTGTATTTGAAAATTTGGAACAATTATTACAGCAAAATAAGAAGAGAATCAGAGTCGACAGTGATAAAAGTAAAATATATGACAATTCCCTTAAATATTCTTCAAAGAAAAATAGTTCAAATTGTAATGGAGAAGAAAAGAAATTAGATCATCCATATTCTGGTGCTCTCACTTATTCTTATAAAGCATTAATGGTGCCAAAAGTACTGTTGAAAAAAACAAAAAAGCTTGTTGAAACCACAACTAACATGAATGCTAGTTTTGTAAAGTTTCTCAAGGAGGCAACTGAAAATTCTGAAATAAACAGAACAGTACATATACGTCAGTTGAAGGCTTTTAAATCTGTATTAAATGACATAAAAAAGGCTCATGCAGCATTGGAGGAAAGTCTGAACCTGGAGATTCAAAATCTCGGTGCTAAATTCAAACAGAAACATAGCAAAGAGAAAGAAACAGAAATTAAAACGAGTAACAGTGAAATGAAAAGAACAGAAGGAAAAGAATTCAAAGAAACTAAGATTGTATCAGAAATCAGTGAGCATTCCAGTGATCAGAGTGTGCCAGTAACAGAACGGACGGGAAACAAAAAAATGAACTGTAAAGATAAAAAGTCTGGCAAAAGTGAAGACCTTCAATATAACCCTAATAACATTGAAGCAACAGATATGGATATTGTTTCTGTTCCCTCATCTGTTCCTGAGGATATTTTTGAGTCCTGTATGGATGTGCAGAAAGCAGGTGTACAAAGTACTGTAAACAGAACAGAACCTGGTTCAGTAAATACTAATAAATCTAAAGATAGTAAAGGTGGGACTAAGTTGATACATTCTCCCAAAGTTAAGAAGGAATTGGTTGTAAAATTGACACCAGTTTCCTTCTCTTGTTCTTCTGTAAAATCTGAGGACCCAGATGAAAAACTGGAAAAGGGAGAGGACAAAGAAGATGGAAAAGAAAATTGTAATACTGAATGTATACCAGAAAAAGATTTCGTTCCACAGGTAGAAGATCATGATCTCAGAAGGTCTCCACGAGTTAAAACTACACCTTTAAGGCGTCCAACAGACATAAATACCTTAACTTCTAATTCTGAAGAAGATAGCAATGAACCATATGGTGAAAAGTATGGCAAGTCCAAAAGGAAAAAAGAAAAGCCGAGTTCTCCGAGTGGCACTATTTGTAGTCCTCAGTCAAGCAAAGGGCTTACTATAGACCAGAGTTCTGATTCTGATGAAATACCCGCTGTTCTCCAAGAGGTAGCCATGATGAGCCATAATTCTTCAGATCTTGATAGCAGCAATGAAATACCCAAGGATGTGCTAAATACATTAAAGAAGCGAACGGTGAAGGAGGAGAATGGAAAACGGAAAAGGAAAAGTTCTAGCTCTGGTTCAGATTTTGATGCTAAGAAAGGTAATTCAAATAAAGATTTAGCTACTGCTAAAAAGAAACGCCAGAACTGTTCAGATTCTTCTAATAATGATTCTGAGTTGGAAAGAGAAAATACAAAGAAAACAGAGCAAACAAGGAAAACTACAAAAGAAACTCCAAAGAGAGAGAATTACGTTTCTATGGAAGAGGAACTACCTGAAAAAGAAACGAGAGAATCAAACCAGAAGCAGCAAAATCAATTGCCCAGTGAAGTTGATGAAGAACTTTTAATTTCAAATATGGAGAAGGCAGGCAGTTCTTTGGCAGATACACCTGGTAAAGAGGCATCTGTTAAAGAAAAGCAAATGCAAGATTTCAAAGAGAGCTCCTTGAAAGGAAAACAGAATGTTTCATCAAGAAAAGACAACAGCAGCACATCAGGCCAGCAAAGCAAACTATGGGGGAAATTACGGGATTTATCTTCTGATGATGCAGGACGGTCCCCAAAGCAAGAACAAAGCAGTGAGTCCTCAGATGAGATGAAGAAAGCCAAAAAAGAAAAAGAAAGCATAAATGAGAGAAAGACCTCTGAAAGGAGGCAAAGTGATTCCTGTTCTGAAATTGAGAAGTCTTCTCCTGGCAAAGAAAGCTGTAGTGCTTCTGGAAGTATCAGTAAAAACCAAAAAACACCTGAAGGAAAAATAGGAAGGAACTTAAGAGAGAGAATTTCTAAGAAACTCCAAGATAATGTTTCAGATGCTGAGAAGTCTCCCTCAAACAAAGTGGGCGGTGACCCTTTGGAAGACAATTTAAATAAAAAGGGAGAGAAGGCTAAAGAAAAAAAGAAAAGCCCTAAAAGGAGGAATTCAAAAAAACCAAGAGGCGAGTTACTGTCTTCTTCTGATGAAGACTTCTATGAGGAGAAAAAGAACAAAAAGAGAGGGACAGCCAAGAAGGGAAATAGCAAAGCTGGCCGTAAAGAAACAGGGAAAACTGAGTTTAAAAAAGCCAAGGACGCGTCTGTCAGTGGGGCCACCTCATCGTCATCAAACGAAGCCGAAAATGAAAATTTGAATTCAGCAGGCGAGGAAAGCAGTGATGAGCAGAAAATAAAGCCAGTAACAGAAAGTTTGTTGGTGGATACAAAACTGGGATTTTTTCAGTCTTCAGGTGTGCAGATAATTAAATTTAAACCTTTGTTAATTAGTTCTTTAGACAAAAAAAATAACCTATACGTTTTTGAGCCTAATCCATACATTTTACTAATTTCTTGGAAAATTTTCATTTTTAGGGTGCTTTGCATTTAGGTTTCAAGGATGTTATTTGGATCATTGCTGAATTGCTGGTTTTGTTGATACGACTGTTAAAAAGAAGAAATTCAGTATAATAGTTAACCAGGTGCCTTCTTAGGAGGATGAACTGTTCAAAATATAATTGCATTTAAATTTAAAGTTTCTAGCATTTTTAGTACGCCACTAACATTGCTGACTACAAATTCTGAAAGCTGTAATTTAGGTACACAGATAGATACATTTAGGTACATGGAGGAATACCAGGGTGAGAAAATTCACCTCGAACAATGCTATTTCATAGTTGCTTTGTCTTTTCTCTTTCAATGTTTGTTTTCTGCTAAACTTTGCCTTGATGTATATCTACCATCATAAAAAGGGAGAAAGAAAAATGAAAAATACTCACCAGGAAAAGTTAAAATGTTAAAAGTTTTAATATAAAACAAAAGTTTTAAGTATAAAATGTTAAAAGTTTTAAAAAATTAGCAACCTAGCTTTCGTTGGCTCCTGCCAACTTCATCAAGGCGTACATAAATCAATGGGAGTAAACATTTATATGTGAGTTAACACCTGCGCTCGGCTTCTGGACCGCATAATGGGCCCAGGTCGGCCAATCATAGCATTAGTTGTGATTGCTGCATAATTGAGTGACTCATCTACTTGTATCACGCGTCCCTCATCAAAGTTAAAACAAGCTTCCGACTCTCCACTCATCCATATCCGTGGTCTAGGAGGATCCTCAATCTTATTCCAACTTGAGATGTCATCCCCACCACCAAGTCGTTTCCCCCAGAAGCTGAGCGCAGGCGTTAACTCACATATAAATGTTTACTCCCATTGATTTATGTACTCCCTGATGAAGTTGGCAGGAGCCAATGAAAGCTAGGTTGCTAATTTTTTAAAACTTTTAACGTTTTATACTTAAAACTTTTGTTTTATATTAAAACTTTTAACGTTTTAACTTTTCCTGGTGATCAAATTTTATTCACAATATGCACACACCCAGGAATCATGCTTCTATTTTTAGTATTATATATAAAAATCTCCTCCCCCTGTCTCTCTCCTGATAGCTAACAGAGTGGGAGAGAGCCTGTGGCTTAGAGGTTATAACAACTGCCTAACATGCAGATAAGCCCAGGTTCGAATTTCAGAAGAGTAAGTCTGGCTGAAGAGAGTTAACGGAACTCGAAATAGCTATACCAGTTCATATATATTATGTGTAGGTCTTTGGTTATTCGGGTTTTCTCCCACGTAAAATTGGAAGTGTCTTGGTGACGTTTCGACGAAGTCTCATTCGTCATCTTCAGGCTGGTGCTTTCGGCTTCGTGCTCCTAGAAGCACAAAGCCGAAAGCACCAGCCTGAAGATGACGAATGAGACTTCGTCGAAACGTCGCCAAGACACTTCCAATTTTACATGGGAGAAAACCCGAATAACCAAAGACCTACATACAAACACCCGCGAAAACCTCAGAAACATATATATATATATATATAATATATATATATATATATTATATATATATATATATATATATATATATATATATATATATATATATATATATATATATGAGCTTTTTGATTCAGTTTATTGGTAGAGGCAGTAATTCAGAGTTTTTAATGTCTTTCTTCCCAAAATTGCTCAAGGCTACAGTGAAAATATAAAATTATTATTCAACAGTTGCAAAACAGAACAGTTAAAACAATCAGGTATAAAGCTATAGTTATATCACAATTTAAGATTATGTTTCATGAAAAGTTGGCTAGATTTTCTATAAATGAAGCACATAATGGCATGCACATGGAGACAAGTGCATTTAAGGCAAAAGTTCAGAGCCAGTTGACAATGAAATGCCACAGCATAGGGCTACTTATTTTTCCTCTGGGCGGAGGAAGGATACACACAGACACACACACACACATGAAACACTTTTACCTTCCCACCAAAATGGTACCTATTAATCTACTCGCATTTGCATGCTTTCAAACTGCTAGGTGGGCAGGAGCTGGGGTGAATAATAGGAGTTCACCCTGTTGCGCGGCACTCGGGTCTTGAACCCGGGCTGTCAGCTCCTCAGCTGACAAGCTCAGTGTCTTTAACCGCTGAGCCACTGCACGTCAAGTGCACACGCATGCACACAATTACAATACATATACACACAAACACTTAAAATGTTTGTATTTTATTAGAAAGTCTGAAAACAATCAAGAAAAGTTAATAAAGTAACAGTTGAAGAAAAAATGGACTTAAAAATATGCAGATTTATTTTCCAATATATCATTAGTTAATTATGAATGACTAAATATAGTACATCATTTAAAAAGTTTTAGGAGGTGATATTAAATTCTAAATTAAACATGAATATCAAAAACCAGGTCAGCAGGATAAAAATCACTGAGTGAGATTATATGCTACAGTAAATTTAATTCATGTTGTCCAAATTTTGTTCTAATGTAGATGTCTTCTAAAATTGAAATATGGACTATAGAGAAATCTAGATTTCAGATCCATTTATTAAGTTATAAGGGAAGAAATTCCATAACTGCATAGCTCTCAGTGGGGAAATCTCTCTTAAAATCTTATATTAGACCCTTCCCACTGATGTGAATATATGCTGGGCCTCAGGCAGAATTAATATTCTAACATTAATGTGTATATCCTGATTACTTAATATAAGGGCTAGTAATTTGTTATAGTGTGAATAATAATAATGATTATTTTTATTGCTCATCCTACCAGAAACGTACAACTATAGATTATTATATTTTAAAGGCATTTAAGTTGCTAGTCATCCAAACAGCTTTTAGAAGTGCATTTTGTAGGTCAGTTGGGTGCTAAATGGATCAAAACATGGGCTGGAGGCTGGAGGACAAGCTTTGAAAGCTGTAAAACAGCTGTACAGTTTTGAAGTTACATACTCAAGTATTTCAAAATTCACTATTTATTCAAGTTTTGTTTGTTTAAAACACATTAACATATTTAGAGAAGAGAAACAGTTTGATGTAGTGGTTAAGACATCAGGCTAGAATAATGGTGGTGAACCTATGACACGGGTGCCAGAGGCAGCACTCGGAGCCCTCTCTGTGGGCACATGTGCCGTTGCCCCAGCCTTGCCTCCGCACGCGACCCCCTCCTCACCAGCAACCTCTCTGGAGGAGAGTCGCCCCCCAAGCGTGGCCCACATGGAGCAGCACAGCCAAGGACCATGGCAGCCAGGCAGCGTAGACAAGACTGCCCTCACGCCCCAACATGCACAGTTGATGCTGCGGGGCGTGGGCAGAGGGCATGGCTGCCATGGCGCTGCTGGGCTGCCTAGGCGATCAGCGGCTGGCCCTGGAGGCGGTGAGTAGCCCTGTGGGCAGGCAGGGTGGGACAGAGTGGTGGCAGGGCAGGGAGTGGAGTGGGGCAGGGGCGGGGCCAGTTTTTGGGCACTCGGTCTCTAAAAGGTTTGCCATCACTGGGCCAGAACTTTGGCAACATTGTGTTCCACTCCCGCCTTAGGCACAAAGCCAGCTGGTTGACCTTGAGCCAGTCACTTTCAGCCTTAGGAAGGAGGTAATGACAAGCCACTTAGGAAAAACCGTGCCAAGAAAACGGACCTGTCGAGGCAGTTTCCCAGAATCAGATACAATTGAATGTAAGAAAAAAACCCACCCTCAAATGCTAAATTGGCTTGCATTTAATTAATAAAAACTAGGATTGTATAGTAGGAAACTGAAGGTTTTAATATGATAAAAAGGGAAAAATACAGTTGCATATGTATCACATTGGGAAACAGTTATAGAATGGTCATATAAAACTCATTCTCCAGATAGAAATATTTATTGGCCAAGTTTGATTGGGCACACAAAGACTGTCTCCGGTGCATAAGCTCTCAGTGTACATGCAAACAACAAAATAATATAATCGTAAGATACCAACAGTAGAAGGTAAAAGGAAAGATGAGAAGGTTAATAATAATACAAGCCTACTACGTGGCTAAGACATAAGACAGTGCTGTGGGAATTAGGTGTTGAGCAGAGTGATGGCACCAGGGAAGAAACTGTCCCTGTGTCTTGTTGTTTTGGCATGCAATGCCCTATAATGGCATCTTGAGGGTTCAGAGCCAGATTTAACATTCTTCCCTCAGCACTCCTCCAGGGCAGGTATAAGAGAATACAATAATACAAGACAGGGGTGTCTCCCTTATCCTTTGTTTTAACATTAGAAATTTTATTAATAAAAAATTGGGAGTCAACTATAATAAAGGGAATAATAATAAATAAGGATTATAGGTTGAGAGCTTTTGCTGATGATTTGGTTGTTACTTTATCACAACCGATTCATTCGGTTTTAGATTTATTACAGATTATAGCTCAGTATGGGCAAGTCTCTGGCTTTAAGGTTAATAATAATAAGACTTTTTAATGTTTCTAATGGTAGGTGTCCATTTCACGTCCTCAGAGATTATACAACCCAGAAACATGAAGCTCTCAACTGTTGATATTATGTTGTCTAATATTGTAAGAGGTCGTAATTTTAAGTGTATTCAACTCCAGATTGTTCTGGCTGCACCACAGGGTCAGTTGTTCTGGCTGCACCACAGGGTCAGTTGTTCAACCTCCTGTCTGTATGCAGACTTATCATTGTCTTGAGACTAATGACTGTTGTATCATCTGCTGTGCATTGATGCTATATATTGTGGCAACTTTAATTTTGTAAGAACATATCCTGTTCTAAAATTGCTGAAGGCTTGCATTGCAAGAACTCTGAATAAATATTGAAACGGACTGCTTTAGCGTTCAGTAAGATTTCTTGAGAATTGGGGCAGTGGATTTGAATAGGTGTTACTTCTATTGAAGAATTTTGTGGTAGTTTTTGTAAGCAATTCCCTTGGAAA